GCCTGTTTCTTCCGCGACCGCTCCACGCTCACGCCGCTTGCTGCGCCTACTGTTGTCGCTCTCGCTGACCCATCCGCGGGTCCTGTCGTCGCTCGCAGCTCCACTTCCCTTCCCTGTCCAGCCGTTCCCTCGGGCTCTCTTACAGGCCTCCACGTTCCCTCGTTCTCCAGGAACCTGGTTGGTTTCGGCCGTCTTCAGGACCTCGGCGTCACCACTACGCTCCCTGGGCACGAGCGGTTCGCTATCTGTACCGAGGCTGTCTCAGGTTCCCCACTTGCGACGTTCCCCCGAGACCCTGTGTCCGGTCTGTTTACCCTCGACACCGCCCCCCTGGTTGGTGCGTCCTCCCAGGTCGCAGTAGCTTGCTTGTATCGGTCCCTCACACACCCGCCCCTTCTGTAGCACCACCGCTTAGGTCACCCTGCTCTCCTGCGCCTGCGTCACATGTCTCAGCACGGTCTTAACTTAGGCCTCCTCGAGTCGCTCCCCGCACTTCCCCCCTTTGACTGCGCCACCGTGCACGCCTTGCTTCGAAGGCCGGCTCCGCCGTGCCCCTCACTCCTCCTCGCTTCGCCCTGCTACTGCTCCCTTCAGACCCTGCACCTGGACGTCTGGGGCCCAGCCCCCGTCCCCGGACCGCGCGGTGAGCGCTACTTTCTGGTGCTCATCGATGACTACACGCGCTACACCACGGTGTTTCCCCTGGAGCAGAAGGCCGACGTGCCCGACGTTCTTCTCCCGTGGGTTGTGGTTGCGCGTCTTCACCGCGGTCTCCCCGTGTTGTGTCTCCACTCTGACCGTGGCGGCGAGTTCGCCTCTGGTCGGCTTGGACAGTTCTGTCGTGCAGAGGGCATCACCCAGTGGTACACCTTGCCGGACTCGCCACAGCAGAATGGGGTTGCGGAGCACCGCATCGGCTTGGTCATGGAGGTTGCTCGTACCTCCATGATTCATGCCGATGCCCCCCATTTTCTGTGGCCATTCGCTGTCCGCTACGCCGCTCACCAGCTTAACCTGTGGCCACGCTCCCAGCGGCCGCGGGTTTCGCCGACCCTCCTTTGGACCGGGTCCCCCGGTGACGCGTCTGCGTTCCACGTCTGGGGTTGCCTTGCTCACGTTCGTGCCTCTGGCACGGACAAGCTCACTGCCCGCACTGTCCCCTGTGTCTTCCTCGGTTTCCCCCTAGACTCGTCTGACTGGCTGTTCTACCACGCGTAGTCTCACCGCTTCCTTCACTCTCGTGACGTCACCGTTGACGAGTCTGTCTCCTTCTACCGTCGCTTCCCTCACCGAGGTCTCCCGGTTCCCCCCCCCTTGTTCCTGGCTCCCTTTCTCCCGGTAGCCCCTGCTCCCCTTCCACCTCGTCCTGCCCCGTCTGCTGTCTCCCATGTCACTCCCCTTCCGTCGGTTGTCCCCGTTGAGGAGTCTGTTGACTCTGGTGGTCCCTCCGGCCCGTCCTTGCCGCGTCCCCCTTCCCTGGTGTCTCTGCCTCCGCTGTCGTAGCCGCCGCCGCTGCCGTCACAGCCGCCACCGCCGTCGGCGCCGCTGTCGCCGCTACCGCTCTTGGCCTCTGGGGGTGCTGGCGTTGAGGAGGGTGTTCGTCCTGCGGCCCCTGGAGTGGTCTGTCTCGGCGGGCCTGGGGGTGCCGCCGGTGCTGGAGGGGGTTCTCGCTCTGGGGGTGTTGGTTCTGGGGGTGCTGCTGTTGTGTTCTCCCAGCGGCCGTAGTGCCCCTGCCGGTCCTCGGGTCGAGCACCAGCGGCCGCAGCAGCCGCCGCAGCCGTCGCCGCCAGTCTCCGCTCTTCGCCAGCTCGGCCTTCCCTCCTCCGACCGCTCGCCGGTGTCTCCCCCACCACCTTCTCACCTTCCTGTCTACAGCCTTTTGTTTCCACCGCCGGACTCGTCTCCGGCCCGTCTTCCTCATCGGTCCCCTTTTGTGTCCCCTCCGCTGTCAGACTGTCTGACCCTACACCTCCGTCCCTCGCCGTCCCTTCCGTGCTTGTCCCGTCTCTACTGTCCTTCGCTCCCATCCTATGTTGCTCCGTTCCCACTCATCTTGTCCTCCCCTCCTCCCGTTGCCTCCTCCCTCGTCGCTTGTTGATGCACCTCCCCCGTTGTCTAACTACCTCCGTGCCGCTCGTCCCCTTGTCCCTCGGGTTCCTGTCTCGCGCCTTGATGCACTTGTCGCGGCTCTCGCTGACTTCGCCTCTACCCGCCGCCTTGACTACGCTACCGCTCTGGTCTCTGACCCTGCCCGTCCTCCATCCGTCGGGGGTGCACCTGCCCTTGGTAGTGACGTTCTAGAGGACCGGCAGTACGAGCTTGCTTTCCTTTCCGAGGCCGCTCCCCATCTCTGCTCCATGCTCCTAGTCCCAGAGGGTGACCCAGACGCCTTCGACATCCCGACCCCTCGCGCTTACGCTGAGGCCACCTCGGGACCTTGGGCCTCTCAGTGAATAGCTGGCATGTAGCCGGAGATGGCATCTTGGAGGTCCACCGGCACTTACGTCGACGCAGTTCCCCCCCGTGGGGTGAACGTAGTCGATGGTCGGTGGCTCTTCAAGGTGAAGCGCCCCCCTGGAGAGCCACCTGTCTTCAAGGCGCGCTACGTGGCCAGAGGCTTCAGACAGTGCGAGGGTGTTGACTTCTTCCAGACCTTCGCCCTGACCCCGAAGATGACCACTCTTCGGGCGCTGCTACACTTAGCAGCACAGCGCGACTACGAGCTTCACTCCCTCGACTTCTCTACTGCCTTTCTTCAGGGCAGCCTACACGAGCAGGTCTACCTACGCCGACCACAGGGCTTTACTGGTACCTTCCCCCTGGGACCGAGTGGCTTCTCAGGTGCCCGGCCTACGGCCTGCGCCAGGCTCCTCGCGAGTGGCACGACACGTTGCGTGCCACGCTAGCAGACCTGCAGTTCTTTCCATCCTCTACTGACCCCTCGCTGTTTGTGCGTTACGGCCAGACTCTGTTCTACATCCTTGTCTACGTAGACAACCTGGTCTTCGCTACTGCTGACAGGGACGCGCTAGCCTCCATGAAGGCCGAGCTGCTGAAGAGACACACCTGCACTGACCTTGGGGAGCTGCGTTGTTATCTTGGCCTGCAGATCTCTAGGGACAGAGCAGCACGCACCATCACTCTGACGCAGTCACACTTGGTGCGTCAGGTCCTTCAGCGGTTCGATCTTCAGTTCTCCTCTGCACAGCCCACACCTCTTCCTGTAGACCATGGGCTCTCTGCTCCCGTTCCTGAGGAGCCAGTAGAGCCCAGCGGCCCCTACGCAGAGCTGGTGGGTTGCCTTATGTACCTGATGACTTGCACTCGCCCAGATCTTGCATACCCTCTCAGCATCCTGGCTCGCTTTGTGGCCACTGGCAGACACCGACCACAGCACTGGTCGGCCGCTAAGAGGGTTTTGCGATATCTAGCAAGTACATCAGGCATGGGGTTAGTGCTAGGAGGACGCAGGCCGGTGGTCCTCACTGGGCACACAGACGCTTCTTGGGCAGACGAGTCTGAGACACTCAGGTCGTCAAAGGGCTACTGTTTTAGCCTTGGTTCAGTTGCTATCTCTTGGAGATCCACTCGCTCGTCGTCTGTTGCTCAGTCCAACTGTGAGGCTGAGATCTACGCCGGTGCCATGGCGGCACAGGAGCTCCGCTGGCTGACCTTCTTGCTCACAGACTTAGGTGAGCGGCCTAGCTCTGCCCCGGTCCTGTGCGCTGACAACAGGGTCATGATTCTCCTGTGTCAGGAGCCTCGGCTTGAGGTCAGAGCGAAGCATTCCAGCTGCGGTACTTCCTCCTGCGCGAGCTACAGCAGCGTCGCCAGGCCCGCGTAGTTCACTTAGCCTCAGGTGCCAACACAGCTGATATCTTTACTAAGGCGCTTGCGCCTAAAGATCATCAGCGGCACTGTGTACAGCTTGGTCATGTTCTTGTAGCTACTCACCTGTTAGGACCCTGATTGTGTACTCTCTATTATATATACCTGTCTGACTGGCCTTGTGGCCTTACCTCCAGTGGCTGGACTAGTAGTGCCGCCCTGGCTTGCTTTAGTCTTGCTTGTACTCTTGCTGACTGGTCTCAGGACCCCTACCTCAGTGGTTGGACTAGTAGTGCCACCCTGAGATGTGTGCTTCTTGCCTAGCACCACCCCTTCTCTAGCGTAGGGGGTGTGTCAACTTATACATATGTTGTATGTAGAAGTTATAGGCTAGCCTAGGTGTGTGCTTCTAGTGAGTACAACCCCAGCAGGTACATGTTCTAGGTTTCTCACACTAGTCCATTCATTCTCTCTTTCTATTACTTTCTATAGATTGTGTGTTCTTTCATTTTATTGCCATTCACTCGTTCACAGTTTCGCCATTGCCCTCCGTGCTGTCGAGAGACCCGCTGGGGTTACCCTTGAGAAGATCCTGGGGGAAGGGCCACAGGTGCAGAGCCTGGGGGGCTATGGGCGCACTGACCCGCTATTAACAAGCCCTTTTAACCCAGTGGCTAGTGACTGGGTTTCTAACACACGCTACTCGGCAGTCCCATTCATAACAATTATGGGATGAGGATATACCGTAGTAGCTAACAACATAGTGAGATGAGATAATATGCGGCAACACAATGATATGAGATAAGACGCAGCAACACAGTGGGCATATATTCATATGGATCATTTTGAACACAATGCAGAAATGGACAATCCATGATGACACTTTTGTGCGATGTATGGGAGAAAATGGGATTTATGCGGTGTATGGGACTTGTGGGAACGAGCTTCGGGCCGAGGCTGCAGATTTTTGCGAGCAGAGTGGTCCAGCGAGAGATTTACTCGGCACGGTGTGGACGGCCCAGCGCAATCGGCGGCCTGAGAGGTTGGGAAGGGTGGCTTGCTTGTGGCGGGCGGGTTGGTTGGTTGCATGAGGGCCTCACTCGCTCGCAACGCATCCAACCAACCACCCACTGGGTAGACTCACCAAAAATAAAAATCTCGTCCCAGAAGTCGGACTTATTTTAGGACGTGTTAGAACACCAGGCAGAGCGCCGCGCACGCAACCAACCCGGCTGCCAGAGAAAGAGCGAGCGGCGCGTTTGTCGGAACCATGTTCGACCGAGCTGAGTCAGTTTTTTTTTTCGGACTGGAAAATGATTGCACTGTCACGAGCCTTCGCAACGTGCAAGATACAACCGGGATTTGCGTCCGCGCGTTCCAAGGGCGCATTCCACGCGCGATACTGTGTTGTAGCAACATATTACTCTATCCGTGCTACAGAACTAGTCGCATGCGACTAGCAGACATTCTGAGGCAGAGAGAGAGTCTTGTCATGTCCGAGGGAGTCAAGGCGTCTCGCTTCCGTCGTTCAATAATGGCTGAAGGCTCCGGGAAGCCCTACTGCTGGCCGCTTTTGGAAGCGCGATTCGCGCTCCTCGTTCTGTGCGGCCCTCCACACACCTAGAGGGAGGTCTCTATTTCGTGTTCGACTCGTGCTCGTCTGGGCACGAAGCGCACAGGTTCCAGACATTATATATCTGCGACAGTACCGCGTACTAGTACTACCACCAGTCGCACTACTGCCTGCTCTCTGCCGCGAAAGGAGAACCCACTGTGCTGTGCTAGTCCCCTGCCCTACTCCTACTAGGAGTCCCCCTACCATCTGCTGCGCCGCTGACCCACTTTGACACTCACTCGTCCCTCGTCCCGCCAAGTCGCGTCCGCTTGATCGCATCCAACGCGCGCTCACCCCCGTCTTCATCCTCCGGATCGGAGCATCAACGCGCGCCCGCGCTGCTGAATCGGCAGCGGCAGCAGCGGCGAGCCGCCACGGAATGGCGCGGGCTGACTCAGGCTAGGCGGGGTGCAGCGCGCGCTGCCACCCGCTTGGTGCCTCGCCATCCTTGCCGCATCCGCATCCCCGGGCCTCGCGAGGGTCCACGCCGCAGCCGCCGCCGTGCGCTTGGAGGTCACGCAGGGTGAGAGAAGACGCTCGTGGCAAGCAGAGACTCACGCACACCACAGTGTACTGTGCACCCACCCACCCCGCATCGTCTCCGCGCCCTTGGTGTAACATCCCGCTCAATTCGAACCCCCAGTGGCACATCCCCTTGTCGGGTGAGCCACCCCGCGCTTCCCCTGACTCCCAAACACACACCACCGCTTCCTTCCCGTTCCGCTCCCCTCCCCACTCCCCTCGTTCCCCGCCTCCCCAGGTCGTATGGGACGCGCCCTCGTGCCCCGTGCGTTGCTCCTGCTCCGCCACCCCTTCACCACCGCGTGCCGCTCCACCCACCCACGCGCAGGGAAGCATGCAGCAGGCGCAGCAGCATGAGGCGCACACGCCCTCCATCCGCTCCCTGCCCATGCCTCTCCACACGCATGGCTGTCCCGGCCCCCGCCCTCACGCACCGCATTACATTGACACTCGCAAGCAAGGGGCACACTCACAGCAAGGGAAACCAGTACCACCAGCACCAGCAGCAGCAGCAGCAGCAGCAGCAAGCACTGCAGCAGCAGCAGCAGCAGCAAGCACTGCAGCAGCAGCAGCAGCAGCAAGCACTGCAGCAGCAGCACCAGCAGCAGCAGCAGCAGCAGCAGCAAGCACTGCAGCAGCAGCAGCAGCAGCAGCAGCAGCAAGCACTGCAGCAGCGTCCCTCAATCAGCCAGCCGTGCTGCCCTCTAGGCCTCCCCACACCCATCCCCTCTGTGCCAAGCCAACGGCACGAGTCAAGCTTTTCCAGCCCCCCTCCCTCTCCCCTCCCAGGGAAGTAGCCCGGCTATACCCCAGCAGCAGCAGTGGGGACACAGCTGCACACTCATTCCCCCACACCTCCGCAATGTCCTATCAGTCTGCCGTCCATGCGCCCTCCACCGCCCATGAATCCCATCCTGCTGCACGCCCTCCCTTCGCTGCTGCTGCCGCTGCTGCTGCCCCCCGTGCGTGGCTCAGGCCCCCAAACCGCCTGCCTAGATCGCTCCCCCTGTATGCTGCTGCCGCTGCACTGCCCACACGTCGTGCTGTGGCGAACTCGCTGAGGGCGTTTGAGTCGGGGGCGTCGCACAGCGCACAGAGTGGCCTGGCAGGGCACTATGTGCGGTGGGCGAGGGAGGACGGGGGGTGTGAGAGGGAACACCAGAGGCGCGAGTACTTCAGGCACCTGGAGAGGCATGCGAGAGAATGGGTTGAGGAGGCCAGGCGACAGGGGCAGAGAGGGAGTGAGGGCCAGGGCAACCCGTCATGGCCCATAAGGCCTCCCTATCCGCCACCGCCACACAGCCCCTTGCGTGACCCCGCCACCCTCCCAGCCTCCTCCTGCTCGTCCCCATCCCGGCCGCTGGGTCTGGTGGCGGCGCACTCGCTGCACGACCTGATGGTCATCCGCGCCCTGCACTCCGCCCTGCTGCGCCTGCCCCGCCACTCCCTCGGCACTGCGCTCGGCATAAGAACCAGAGCAGGCCAGCTTACCTCGGTCCCCGCTATAATTGTCTTCGTTTCCTGTAAGGTGCATCAGCAGTGGGTTCCTGAAGGGCAGTTGCTGCCACGTCAGCTTGTGGGCCCCACAGGAGTGTGGTGTGACGTGGATGTGGTGGAATTCTGCTACACTGACGCCCCTGTTCCCACCTGCACGCCATACTTCCCACCTCCTCCCCCTTCTCCCGATCCTCCTGTCACTGCTGACTCACCAGAGGCTGTTAACGTTACTGTTGCTGTTGCCATGGCTCATGCTGACGGTGCTGCTGCTGGTGTTGGCGTTGGTTTTGGTTTCCCGAATCCCGGGGCGAGCCAAGAAGTAGGAAGAGGTGGCGTGGGGAGCGCCAGGGAGAGCCAGGGAGGGGCAAGCGAGAGGGGCGCGCACAGCAGCAGAGCTGCACCGTTGGACGAGATGACGGGCGGCGTGGGGGAGGTGGGGCCGGGGTCGCAGGTAGCGAGCGAGGGCACGTACGGGACGCTGACTGCGGTGGTGGTGAGCACTCGCGGGGAGGGCGCGGTGGGCGTGGTGACCAACCGGCATGTGGCGGTGGACTTGAACCAGCCGCAGCAGGCGCTGCACCACCCGCTGCCGCCCAGCCACGGGCCCGGCGTGCTGCTGGGGCTGGTGGAGCGCGCGGTGTCGTTCGTGTCGGACTGCGTGTGGTACGGCATGTTCGCCACGCCCAACACTGGTCCGTGGGGGCGGGCATGGGGAGCGGGAGTGGGAGGGATGCGGGAAGGCAGGGCCAACGGGGCGTTGGAGAGGAGAGGGAAGGGTAGCGGGGGAGGCGTCCGAAATTGTGTGGTAAGTGGGAATGCTGAGATTGCGTGTGATCCCTCCCATCCCTGCGTGTGCATCCCTGGCAGAGGCATACGTGCGTGTGGACGCGGCGTTTGTGCCGTTCCACCCGTCGCTGGACGTATCCATCATCACGCCTGCGCTGCGTGGGCTGGGTGCCGTGGGGCCGCCGTGCGACATCTCCCTGCACGACGCCATTGGCTCCATCATCAATCGCCCCGTCTGCAAGGTGATCCACCGCACCGTGCCATGCCGTGCCATGCCGTGCCATGCCATGCCATGCTGTGCCATGCTGTGCCATGCCTAGGCATGCCATGTCACGCCTTGCCATGCCACGCCAAGTGCCAAGCTGCCTGGCCATAACACCTAGCAAGTTCCCATTCTTAGCATTTTCCTTTAAAAATATATATCTTTGTGTGTATGTGAGAGGTGGGAGGAGGAGAGGTTGGGCTTTCATGCTTGCACACTTCGAGGGCGAGAGTACTGCTCGCCTTCTATTTATGTCTCCCCCCCTTCGCCCCTCCCTTCTATTTATTCCTCTCACTCTCTCCCGTTCTCCCTAGCTCCCCCCACTCGTTCTCCTGCCCCCTCCTCCCCCCCACGGCATTGGCTCCACATACACCCCCCTTATCTTGCTCCTTTCCCCCTTTCCGTCTTGCTCCTTTCCCCCTTTCCATCTTGCTCCTTTCCCCCTTTCCATCTTGCTCCCCACACCCACCTCCTCTCCGCCTTTCCCATCCCCCCCCTCCCCTCAGGCATCTACCCAGCAGGACCACTCTGCATACCGCCAGACCCCTTCACCAACCCCCCCTCCCCTCTTCCCCCCCCCTTTTCCACGACTCCACTGCCTCATCATCGTGTCCTCTCCATTCTCGCCTATCCCCCTCTGCTACCCCCCTATCTCCCATCTCCCCCTGTCCCCTCCTGTGCGCACGCCAGGTAGGGGCGACGTCGGGCGTGACGCGGGGGCGCATCATGGGGTACGCGGTGGAGTACAACGACGACCGCGGGCGCACGCTCTTTACGGACTTCCTCATCCTCGGCGAGCACGGCCAGCCGTTCGACCAGAAGGGCGACAGCGGCAGCCTCATCCTCGCAATGCCAACTCGTGAAGGGGGTTCTACGGAAGGCCGTGATCGCACGGATGGCGACAGTGTGCTTCGACCAATCGGCGTGATCTGGGGGGGCACTGCGAATCAAGGGCGGCTGAAACTGCGGCGGGGGCATGCACCTGAGAACTGGACAAGCGCCGTGGACGTGGGGAGACTGTTGCGACTGCTTGACCTGCGAATGATCACGACACCCGAAGAGCTCAGAGGTATCAGCCGACTGTTACATATTGGACCAGCAGATCATGTTTGGTTAGCGTACATACAACTAACGTATCCCCCAAACTGAAACCCTCTTTTCCTAATTTCATGCAGCCTTGGTGGTGGAGCATCCCAACTCATTCTCAACTGGTGTTGAGGTGTTCAGTTGTGATTATGGGGAGCCTTCAGGATTTTAATACAAATCATTGGTGATGTTACGATAAAGAAATGCCGTTAGGCATTCCTGAAAGTAACACAGGTTCAGAGTACTACCGGCACCTTCAGCGCGGTATATCCCCTATCGGGTACGCGCCTCAGTCAGTTGCAAAGTGCAACAGTCATCCGTGTGGACCAGCAACTCAACAGACAGTCGAAGTCCAAGAGTCAAGAGTCCAGGTGGACCGACACGACAGTAAGACAAGCAGGCTGTACCGACCTTGACAGTACACAGTTACCTGAATCGTGTACGGTTACTGATTCATATATCGGCCAAGGGAATGTACCCCTTCGGAGTACATGGCTAGCTAGGACTCTCATCTTCCTATGTACTATATCAAGCTTGTATTCCTTTGATTTTTGGTAATAAACTTGGGGCATACCGTAATCTCCTGGCAATAGGACCCTAGGTCTTGCTACATATTCAAGAAAAATAGTTCGGGTGGACATCAAAACGGAAGGTGATTTATTTATTACGTAAGGAGCATGGTTTTCGTACATGTAGCATATGTTTTCAGGTCTTTGGGGGGGGGTGTTAAATTATATATTTGATATATATGATGGTAGGCTTGGTAGGTGTTACTGGATCCTACTGTATAGGGTACAACCCCTCTTGTATTCCTCTCTCTTCTATTCCAACTCTTTTCTCTCTCGTAACTTTCTCCTAGCCTAAAACCTCACGCCATTTCTATGGCTCCTCCTCCTACCTAGCTATGTTTAATATGGTATCAGAGCAGGTCCGTCTGCTCAGGCCTGCTCATCACGCTTCCGCAAAGTCCGCTCCTCCCTCCTGTCCTTTCCGCGCCGCCACCACGGCCATGCCGTGCTGCCGTGACGGCGCCGTCGTGCTGCCAGCGCGCGGACGGCACGGACGGCAGCGGCCAGCGCCCGGTCTTAGCGCTGGCCAGCACGCCCGCATGCAGCCAGCGTGCCACATGGAGCAGCACGCTCCCGGGCTCCGCTGCTGAAGCCCCCCCCCCTTTCCCCTGCGTCCCCTCTTCCTCGCCGCAGCCGACGGCTGACTCGCGCCGGTCGTCCCTCCGTCGTGGAGCCCGGCCACGCCGCCGAGTTCTGCGAGCTCCGCTGCCGCCGCAGCTGTCGTCGAAGTCGCCGTCGCCGCATGCCGCCGCCGCCGCCGCCGCTGTCGCGCTGCCGCCGTCGCCTCCGTTGCAGCTGCTGCCCTCGCTGTCGACGTCGCCGCCTCACACGCCGAGGGGTTGACCATGCTGGAGTAACCGTCGCTGCTGCTGAGTATGGGGGTGCTAGGCTTAAGGGGTGTGTGGCTTAGTGTGATGTGTGTGGGGTGTGCTTTCGGCTACCAAGCCTAAGGGGTGTGTTAAATTATATATTTGATATATATATAATGGTAGGCTTGGTAGGTGTTACTGGATCCTACTGTAGAGGGTATAACCCCCCTTGTATTCCTCTCTCTTCTATTCCAACTCTCTTCTCTCTCGTAACTTTCTTCTAGCCTAAAACCTCACGCCATTTCTATGGCTCCGCCTCCTACCTAGCTATGTTTAACGGGGGGTCCTACTAGGGAGAACAGACTCCAGAAGGTCAAGCGTCAGATTTTGTAGTCGCCAGCTGACAATGCCAACTTTGCCGCCGCACTGGCATGTCGAGACAACATCTTGACCGCCGGGGGTATGTTCGACGGTTAAATCTGTAAGAAAGTGAAAAGTGGCGTAGGAGACGAAGTATAGAATCAGCAGACACAAGTACTTGAAGTAGAAGTAATACTGGAAGTACCTCCAGTAACAGCCAGTATTAACAAGTTGTAACACCTGAATCAGTGTTACAGCCTTGTGATACTTCAAGAATTGAGCAATGATCTTTGCTGGAATGGTAGACTAGTAAGACAACGGAAGTCTTAGAAGTTGAAAGGGTTGACCAAAATTTACTGAAGATCAAGTTGATAATTGAAGTCATACAAGCTACACTTATATCTGCTAGAGGTACTGTTGAGATAGCCAGGAACTAGGAGCTAGGCGTATGAGCGTAGCGTAAGGTTTTACGCTAGGAGGAAAAATATCGAGAGAGAAGAGGATGAGATTAGAAGAGAGGGATACAAGGAGGGAGTTGTACCCTCTACATTAGGTTCAAGTAACACCTACCAAGCCTACAATTATATATAGATATAATATATAATTTAACACACCCCCTGGGCTTGGTAGCCGAAAGCACACCACACACGCAGCACCCCCAACACCCTTGCACCCCCATGCCCTGCAGTAGCGGTGGCTTTGTCAGCAGCGGTCGACCTCACGACGTGCGAGGTGGCGACGTCAGTGGCGGGAGCAGCGACGGCGGCGTCGACAATGGTACGACGGCAGCGGCGGCTGCGACGGCGGGTGGCGGCGGAGCCAGCGGCACCTGCGGCATCGGCGACGGCTTCGACGGCGGCGGCGGCGGCGACGGAGACTGTGGCACCCGGCGACGTGGCCCGGCTCAGCAATGACGGGGCCGCATGGGGCAAGACAGCCATCGGCTGCGGCGGGGAGGAAGGGAAATGCAGAAGAGGGAGGGGGCAAAGCTGCAGCGAGGTGCCAGGGAGCGTGCCGTCCCGTGTGGCGCACTGGCTGCATGCGGACATGCTGGCCAGCGCTAAGACCGGGCGATGGCGCGGCGACGCCGCCACGGCAGCATGATGTCGCCGTCACTGCAGCACGACATGGCCATGGTGGTGGTGCGGAAAAACAGGAGGGAGGAGCGAGTGTTGCGGAAGCGTGATGCGCAGGCCGGAGCAGAAGGACCCGCTCTGGTACCATGGTGAGATACTGTAACTGAGAACTAGGAGCTATGCATAGGAGCGTAGTGTGAGGTTTTGGGCTAGGAGGAAAAATATCGAGAGAGAAGAGGATGAGATTAGAAGAGAGAGGGATACAAGTAGGGAGTTGTACCCTCTACAATAGGATCCAGTAATTCCTACCAAGCCTACAATTATATATAGATATAATATATAATTTAACAGGTACCTGTTAGGTAGTGTACCTGTTCAAAACTACTTGAGCTATGCGCTCTAATCGCTTCTGAAAGGGGCGCGACTGTTTGCTTGACTGAAATGGTCTGCTGAAGCTATTCATTGACATCATTCTACGGATGCTAACTACAGTGTAACTTGATAATTTCTATTGGAACTACTTACCGAATGCTTAAGTACGAATTTATCACAACACTCCCCTTCATTTCTGGAAGTCCAATAGTGTCACTTATTGATAATTCCGCAGAGTTCGTTGCAGTACTAGAACTTCTGATGTGTCAGCTTTTTGGTGAGGAAACCGGCAGCCATTTCATTGGTCGAGCAGTAGCCCAATCGCATTCTCCCCCTCTCAACTTCATCTTTGACGAAGAAGTATCGTAGCGAAATGAGTTTCGTCCTGTTGGCGAAACCGGGTTGGTGCGCAATTCTAATTGCGCTTTGGTTGTCGCACTGCAGGGTGAATTGTGTACTTGTCGTCAATTTCGCTTCCTCCAGTAGCTCTTGTAGATAGAGACCTTCGCGAGTAGCTGTGCAAGCAGCTATGAACTTGGCTTCAGCAGATGATAGAGCTACGAGCTCTTGCTTTGTATATTTCCATGAGATAGTCCCGATAGGTTTGAGACGATAGATGAAGCCGGTGTGAGATCGACGATTAGAAGTAACTGCTGTATGATCAGCATCGATGTACCTGTTGAGATATAGAGTTTTTGTAGTGGTGACTTGATAGGTAAGTCCAACTTCAGGTGTAAAAATGAAAAACAGTAGAGCGCAAAGAATATCTAGCCGATTCTCCCCCTCGGGTCGACGCAAATATTGCGCGAGCTGGCTAGCGGCATAGGCGAGATCCGGACGACACGTTACGGCCACGAATAGAAGACAACCCAGCTATTGCTGATAGAGCTGTAATTCAATGCTATCTAGTGGAGTGGTATCTGGTTTGTAGTCCGTAGGTAGAGATCGGTAAGGTGTGGTGACGTTTGAAGGTGTGACGTTAAAGCGTACGGCTAGGGTAGCTGCGTATTTGGAAGCTGTAAGATGAAAAATAGTGGGTGTGCGGTGAATGTTAAGGCTAAGAAATTGTGTGACAGTAGGTGTGATGGTGATCTGTAGGTATTGTTGAAGTGTTTGTTTGAAGGAAGTAGTGAGGGAATCAGTGGTGCTGATGTAGAGTAAGTCGTCGACATAAGCGACGAGTAGGATGTAGTCAAGACTGTCGGTAAGTGAATACATTCCTTGGTCGTGCGGTAGTTGACAAAACCCGATAGTTAGTAACTGACCGTGTAGATACTGCTGCCATAGGCGTGGACCCTATTTGATGCCGTAGAGAGACTTTCTGAGAACGCAGATGCTGAAAGGGTTAGTTTCGTAAGAATAGGGGTACTCAACCAAAATTAATGCATCGACGGGTGCATATAGAAATGCATTGGAGACGTCGATTTGGCGAAGTTTGAAGTTCCGGCAAGCCGCGACGTAGAGTAGGATGCGGACACTAGTGTGTCTGCCAACGGGAGCGAAGGTTAGCTCGTAGTCGAGTCCAAAATTCTGTTCGAAGCCGCGAACAGCCCATCGCGCCTTGAAATTTTCAAAGGAACCATCAGCGTTCGTCTTCACACGAAAAAACCCATTTGCCTGTAAGTACCTTACTCCCCTTTCTTTCCTTCAGTGGGATAAGATCCCAGGTACCTCGCTTTTCCAGAGCTGCTAACTCCCGGTCCATGACTCCCTGTGTTGACTTGTCAAAGCTTGGCAAACCGTTTTCGGCTCCAGAATCGTACTGTTGTTCGACTTTACTGCGACTGCGAGTCCGAATACCAGTAACCCAGTTTTTGTAAATCGAGGACGATTTGAGTTGACACCGGAGAAATTGTTTTGTGACCCCTGTTCCCCCCCATTTCTTCAGGTGTCACACAGATAGCTGGTTCGAAAACAACGGGCATGGGCTGCTGCTAACGATCACATTCGTAATCAAGAAGAACATCCCTGACATCTTGAGAGTCAGCTTCGCTGAGGGGAATAAATTCAGCAATCCTGGCTGACGTGGCTGGTACGGGGATTTCCGTGGCTACTTCGGAAGATTCGGCAACTGATTCATCCTGTACAAATGTCTCAGCTTCGTCGGTGGCGAAAGGACGCGAGGCTTCAAATAAGCTGGCAGGATTGGCAGCTGCTGCCTGGTGAATACAAAAAACAAGTAAGGTGCGTCGTTCGTACAAAAAAAAATTCACGTGCTGGTACGATTTGACTTGTGAGAAGATCCATAAATTTCCATGCATAAAACTGCTTCTCGATGCCAAGATGAATTCCCCAGTAAGCCCTTAACGAAACTTTTCCGAGTGCTGCAGTTGGAGGTCGGTATTGGACGATACACCAAAAAACTCTTAAAATTGTGTTGCTTACTGTCT